GAGTTTTCACCATAAAACGTAAGCACCATATTGGCAAGGACTTGGTCTTGTTCAGTGCTGTGTCTCTTGCAACAGAACAATGCATGGCCATAGTAAAAATTCATTAAATATTTATTGAATGAATGAATCCTTGCCTTTTGTCTCCAATAAAGAAGTTAATTTGTCTATCTTGCTTACGAAATTATCAAATTTTTTTAATGAAAGCTATTCATTCATTCATTCATGAGAGAGAGAGAGAGAGAGAGAGAGAGAGAGAGAGAGAGCAGGCATCTGCAAGTGGGGAAGAGGGACAGAGGAAGAGAGAGAAAGAATCTTAAGCAGGTACCACGCTCAGTGCATAGCCTGACACAGAGTCAATCCCAAGATCCTGGGATCATGACCTGAGCCAAAATCAAGAGTCAGTATGCTCAACTGAACATGACACTATCAAATGTTCTATTTGTCAGCATGCCACAATCTTTTAAAACACTCCTTTGTATTTCCTTCAGCATAATTTTGTTTCTTACCTAATTTAACTAATTTTATTATGCATCCTCTACTTGAATGTACTAAATCCCTACCGTAATATTTAAAGACATTAGGTATATCACAATTTCAATGTCATAAAATAAAATTATTTCCTTTTACTTCAACTAAAAAGATGTTTTAATCACAATATCCGTTAGCCCAAGACTAACCAGATCAGTGGTCTCCAAAGTAGTTAGTGATAATGACCATGCATTAAGGTAGGAGAAGAAAACCTTATAAATTTGATTTATATATACTCTTTAATTTCTGAGTATCCTATTAGTAATATCCTATTAGTATTTAATAAAGAAAATAACAAATCACTTATCATGTACCAGGCACTATTCTCAGCAAATATATTAACTTACCTAACCCTCACAATAACCTAGTAAGGGAGACAAAATTATTGCTCTACTTTACAAGGGGAGACACTGAACCATGAGAGTTAGATGCTTATTGTTTTTTGTGTTTCAGTGGCTGGGCCAATTCACATTGATAAAGACAGGATTTAAATTTAAAAAAAAAAAAAAAGTCTCCTTTAACATTTATTTTTAAAAGACAGACAGACCACAGTGGGGGAGGAGTAGAGAAAAAATGAGACACAGAATCTGAAGCAGGCTCCAGGCTCTATCAGCACAGAGCCCAATGAAGGGCTTAAACCCACAAACCATGAGATCATGACCTGAGCCAAAGTCAAATGCTTAACCGGCTGAGCCACCCAGGAGCCCCAAGACAGGATATAAATTCTAACATCAGATTCCACCTTCATAACCAGTAACTATAATGTATGTAATACGCATGGTAGTATATACATACAATTCACAAATAAATATTCATGTATTAGAGATTCAAGTTCAAAGTGTTTTATATGTTTAAAAACTGTTTTGTTTTTTTAACTGTTGGCAATATGTGATCAAAATACAGAAATCAATGGTATAGGAAATCGTAGAAGTCCTGGTTCTATATTTAAGAATGTCCTTGTTATAACGACTTCTCCAATTCCAGAAGAACAATAAGAAAGGTAATCTTGTGAATCATATTTAGTTCTACAAACTAGGTAACTATCTGGAAAGAATCTGTAGTATTTCTTATCCTCATTTGGGATATTATATATATTCCTACAAAGCTGTTTAAATAAAGAAGCAATTTGGAAAAAAATATGAGGTTTACCCAAACAGTTACAAATAGAGGAATCCCTGGTGGCTCAGTTGGTTAAGTGCCCAACTCCTGATTTTGGCTCAGGACCTGATCTCGGCTCAGGTCCTGATCTCACAGCATGGATTTGGGCCCTGAGCCAACAGCATGGAGTGTTCTTGGGATTCTCCCCCACTGCCCCACTTTCTGCCCTATCCTCACTCACATGCGCACTTTCTCTCTTAAAATAAATAAATATTTTTTAAAGTTAAAAATAGAACCATCTTATGATCCATCAATCGCACTACTGGATATTTACCCAAAGAACACAAAAACACTAAATCAAAGGATATGAGCAACCCTATGTTTACAGCAGTCCAGGTGTCCATCAATCAACTGATAAATGAATGAAGATGTAGTACATATATAAAATGGAATATTATTCAGCCATAACAATGTGAAATCTTGCCTACTGCAATGATGTGGATGAAATTAGAGATTGTAATGCTAAGTGAAATACATCACAGAGAAAGACAAATACCATATGATTTCACTTGTGGAATTTAGGAACAAAACAAAGGAAAAAATGAGAGAAGAGTCAAAGCAAGAAACAGACTTTTAATTACATAGAACAATCTGACAGCTATCAGAGGGGAGGGCCATGGACAGATGGGTTAAATAGGTGGTGGGGATCAAGGAGTGCACTTGTGATGAGCATGTGGTGATATATGGAATTGCTAACTTATTGTAGCATACACCTGAAATTAATAACTGTTTATTAACTAACTGAAATTAAGAGAAAACTTAGAAATAAAATGAAAGAGCAATTCGGTCATAATTCTGAAGAAAAAAATTGATCCCAAAAGGCAACCCCACTTGAATGTGTAGATATTCACTAAAAAACAATCATATTCAAGAAACAAGTATTAAAAAGAAAGAAAAGAAAAACAGGTGTTGGTGACAGTGTGGAGAAAAAGGAACCCTCATACACTGTTGTTGGGAATGCAAACTGGTATAGCCACTGTGGAAAACAGTATGGAGGTTCCTCAAAAAATTAAAAATAAAATTACCATATGATCCAGTAGATACTAGGTATTTACCCAACGAACATGAAAACACTAACTTGAAAAGATATATACAGGGGCGCCTGGGTGGCTTAGTCGGTTAAGCGTCTGACTTTCGCGGTTCGTGGGTTCGAGCCCCGCGTCCGGCTCTGTGCTGACTGCCAGCTCAGAGCCTGGAGCCTATTTCAGAGTCTGTATCTCCCTCTCTCTCTGACCCTCCCCTGCTCACACTGTCTCTCTCTCTCTTAGAAATAAATAAAAAAATATTAAAAAAAAAAAAAAAAGATATATACACTCCTATGTTCGTGGCAGCATTATTTACAATCACCAAATTATGGAAGTAACCCAAGTATCCATCAAGAGATGAAAGGTTCAAGGGGTGCCAGGGTGGCTCAGTCGGCTAAGCGTCCGACTTCGGCTCAGGTCATGATCACACAGTTCGTAGGTTTGAGCCCCACATCAGGCTCTGTGTTGACAACTAGCTCAGAGCCTGAAGTCTGCTTCTGATTCTGTGTCTCCCTCTCTCTCTACCCTCCCCTGCTCATGCTGCCTCTCTCTCTCTCTCAGAAATAAACACACACAAAAAAAAAAAGATATGAAAGGTTCAAGAAGATGCGATACACACACACACACACACACACACACACACACACACACACACACACACTGGAATGCTGTCCAGCCATAAAAAAGAATAAAATCTTGTCATTTGCAATAAATAACATGGATGGACTATAAGGTATAAAAGTACGTGAAATATGTCAAAGAAAGACAAATACCACATGATTTCACTCATGTGAAATTTAAGAAACAAAACAAGGAAAGGAAAAAAAAAAAAAAGACAAATCAAAAAACAAACTATAGAAAACAAAATGATGGTTACCAGAGGGGGGAGGTCTGGACAGATGGGTGAAATTGGTGAAGGGGATTAAGTGTGCATTTATCTTGATGAGCACTGAGTAACAGTGCTCATCAATTCAACAACAGTAACAGTTCAACAGAATTGTTGAATCACTACATTGTACACCTGAAACTAACAGAACACTGTATGTTTATTATATTGGAATTAAAATTTAAAAATAAAGTTAATGAATAGTATAAGAGTTACTTAACATTGTAAAAAAACAATAGTACTCCTCTGAAAACAAATGTCTAATGTTCTTTAACAAGCAATGTAAAAAAATCCACCTAAGTGCATCTAAATACTCTTTCCGTAATGATATTCTAAGCATAAAACTCGTTTAATTCTCATTTCACTGAGAATTCTCAATAGCTCCAGATGACAGTTAACAAGGCTTTGGCAAAAAAGCATATGCCTAAGCAACACAACCAGCTTATTTTTAGAGCAGCCCAAAACTAATGTGACAAAGGGTTTATTTTTAAGTTTATTTATTTAAGAGTGCGTAGGCAAGCAGGGGGCAGAGAGGGAGAGAGAGAATCCAAATAGGCTCCACATTGTCAGTGCAGAGCCTGACACAGAGCGTGATCTCACAAACAGTGAGACTGTGACCTGAGCCAAGATTAAGAGACATTTAACCAACTGAGCCACCCAGGTGCCTTTTGATAAAGGGTTTATAATAGCAATTTCAAAGTCCTCAATTCTTTTATAAAATATTCTTTTAAAAAATGTTTGTCTCCAAGATTTAGAAAAAACAAACAAACAAACAAACAATTTTGACCTAAAGATAGGAACGAAAACAGAATCAGTGGTTGGTCTGGTGGATGAAATTATTGTGCAAGTTTTAATACATATGAAAACAATGTATAAACCTAAGACAGCAGTAATAACAATGATAACAAAGAACTCCAGTGGGTAGGAAAAAGCCTTAGCAAATAAACCAGATTTGAGGAAATGCTAGTCCTATGTTATTTAAGATTAGGTTGCCAGAACTACAGTGTAGAATATACTATAATCCTGTTTTATCAGACTTTAAATCCTGGCAATAGAATCCAAAAATGTCACCATAGCTAATACATCAACCGTATGAAGTCAGTAATTCTAGTTAAGTTTGAGAGTGGTAAAAGATAAAAGTACAGAATGAGTAAAAATGGAGAAAGAGGTTGAATAGGAAATCAAGTTTAAGCATACTGATATTTACCTTTTTATAAATTACAGATATTCAAAAAATACCATATAGTGCAGATAGTATTTCCTGTAAGCATGAACTAGATATTCAATAATACTTAGCAAGTGATCAAAGGCTAAATTAATTTTTAAAATTAAAAGTTAAATTAATTTTAAAATTAATAAGTTGCTATATCTTGCCCCCAAAAAGTATTAGTTAATTTGTCTACCTTTGGTCCAGAAACTGGATGGATGTTATTTTTGGTAGATATAGGATGAAGAAAGGTATTCTGGAATCCAAATGCAGAGGAGACAGGATAACCAACCCCACAGGCTGGGTACGTAAGTCTACCATCAACCTAAAAATAAAAACATAAAAAAGGGTGAGACATTAGTTCTAAATAGTATTTGCCAATCCAGGAGGCATTAGCATCTGTTATAATAACTAATAATTGAGAGTACTTTCTTAGAGGCCAATTTTATCATGACACCACAAAACTTTGCTTTATTATACAGCATGAGGCTAGGATACCTTTAGGCTTTTTAAAGAGTGGCTGTACAAGCTTGACAAATTGGACCTGGCTTTGAACTGAGTTCAAACAATGACCTCTCTGAACACCTGGGTTCCCTATAGGCCTTCCATTCCTAAAAAAGAGGATGGGGGAAGGGTGGAGTCACAGATCAGTAAGCCAACCAGATATAAAATAAAAATGACTTTCTGCCAGAATGAGTACAAACAGCACAGTGCCTGATGTGGGGCTTGAACTCACAGTGAAATCATGACCCGAGCTGAAGTTGGGCACTTAACCAGTTGAGCCACCAGGCGCTCCAAGACATGTGTTCTTACATGGACTACTTAAGACAATAACTTGCTTTGCCCACTAATATACCATATGGTCACACCTTCAATTAGCCAATGTCATGAAAAGAGTTTATTTTTATAAGAGGAAAACTGAAACACAAATCTGAGAAAGCAATTATGTACATCAGTGGTTACATTGACAAAAAAAAATCTTTTACATAGTCGTGAAGGTTAAGCCTGTCAAATATTTCAAGTTTGTCATTTAGTACCAGGCACTTATTTCTACACCTTTTTCTAATTTAGCAAAAATCCATTCTTCTCTTTAAACATCAAGTACTATCTGATTTACAAGGATTTAAACTTCAATTAAGTATTTACATTTTAAATCCTCTGCCAATGTTCTCCAACCAAAAATGACCAGAAATGTATCTTTAGGTGCATACCCTGGGTTTACTGCTCCTTGCAAACAATGGAGATTGCATCCTGTAGGGAACCTCGTAAAGGGGATGTGGCAGTATGAAGGTGTTAAAAGGGACTTATTTATTGGACTTGTGTGTTAGGTAGTTTAAGGGACAGTTTAATAAAGTGTGGCTTTGTTGTGAGTTGGAAGCCATCTGTAAATAAGGGTAACTGTATGACTGAGTATCTGAAATAAAATTGTAAATCAGGAGGGATAAATTAAGGCCAAAACTATAATTGGTAATGAAGCAGCAATCAATCATGTTAGCCAGGATAAAGCTTGTGTATTTTTGTGGATTGGCTACGCTCATTTTTTAAAATGGTGTTCACACGTGATATGAGGTGGTCTTGTTTTTGTCTTGATCCATCACAGTCACAAAGTGGCCTTGGCTGATGTTGATTTTCTGTGATACTGTTTGTGCAACAGGAGGCCCCACGGCCTGGCTGCCGAGCACAGGACAACTCTCCTAGCAACACCAGGGCCTTGCTGATAGCACCGAGCCAGCTGCCAGATGTAAGGAGCTGCTCTTCTTTTTCTTCTAATGTCTTGCAAGGGAAAAGCAAGAGGCCTGATACTGGAAGCCAGTAAGCTTATATTTCATACCTATTTCCTTCGAGGATCTAGAACTGACAAGACTAATAAAAGGACATTTCTTTCTCTTTTTTTTTTTCTTCTCTCCCCCATTTCAAACAGAATTCAGTTTAGGCTCCTCCTTCCATCATAGTTCCAAACTTGAGCATCAAGCCTATTCTCCCTTCTTAAGGCCCCCTGAATACTGTAAGCTTCTCAGCACATTTGGTATTACTTTAGTTATTACTGAATGAATTCTATATCCAATGAAATCTTAAAAAGAAGTATGCCCTTCACTTGGGACAGAGCCAAGGCTCCAGTCCAAGCCTGTAGACAACTAGTCTTGTGTTTTTGCTGCAAAAGGAGATGCTGTCCTTGGCCTTCCCCCAAAAAGGGAATAAACGTCTTGAGTTTGTGTATTCAGGCAAGGCAGAATCCAAAAACCTATGGTTGAGATCAGCTTCTCCTTTATTGCAGCCATAGTATTGTTTGAAGACAAGATTTTGCCCTGCCTTAAGTATCTTTCTTACTGAGTTCCTGCCACGTCTCCCAGTTTCATGTGGTATTTAGAAACATGGACATTTATCTGAATCCTAATTATAAATAAGTGACCTGGAGTCTCACTTCAGATAGTGCACTAACAGCAATGAATACTATCTTTCTACATTTCCAGTGTCCATATTATTATAAGCACTGAAATGGATAATACAATAAATGTACTATGGAATTGTCTTTGTGCATGATCCAGAAATAAATGACAGTAACAAAACCAAAAAAAATAAAATAAAATAAAGAAGTATGCCCTTGAAACACAGCCTCTTTGTTAAGAGCAAGTATACATACCTATACGTCACATTTCCAATGCAGACTTAAACAAACTTTACCTCAGTGCTAATAAACTAGGACTCTAGTCATATTAGTACCAACATTTGAAGTCATGGAAACTTCCTCACAGTCTGGGAATATTTTTGTTTCTAGGAGATGTACTAAGACCACTCACATCATTTTTTTTAAGTTTATTTATTTTGAGAGAGAGCATGCGCGAGAGAGAGCGTGAGCGCACAAGCAGGGGAGAGGGAAAGAGAATCCCAAGCAGGTTCTGTGCTGTTAGTACAGGGACCCATGCAGGTCTCGAACTCACCAACTGTGAAACCGTGACCTGAGCCGAAATCAAGAGTCAGACATTTAACCGACTGAGTTACTTAGGTGCCCCAAGATGACTCACAATTCAGTTTGAATCTTACCACGTGAGAGTTAGGAGAAACCCCACTTCTGATTGTGTTGCTGCTCGAGTGTACAGGTGGAGTGGTGGAAGGGCCCAATACATCTTGCTTTCTTACTAGCTGATTTTCATTTAGCTCTTTATTTAACCATGTGATTACTTAAATAAAAGAACAAAACAAGGTAAATAATTTTGAATATTATTTTTCTAATTACTTTAAACATTTAAAAATTATATTGAAAATTTTAAAATGTTACATCTTTGTAACTACCTTATATCATAGGAGACTATAGGTCCACCCAAATTTTTGTCATTAAAGACTCTTATTTTAGCAACCACCACAGAGAACTTATTCTATTACAATCAGAAGCATGTATTTCTGCTAGTCAAGGATCTCTTTCAAGGCTTTCATTTCTAGAATGATACCTTAATATAAAGTTCCCACTCTTGTCTGATAACCAATACTAAAAACTGAGAAAATATCACAAGCTTGATCTTATATTTTAGTTTCAAATAATTCATGTTGTTACTATTAGATAAATACAGCAATTAAACAAGGAGTAGTGAAGAACTTTAATCAGTGAAGAATTTAAATTATCATCAATATTTTCAACACTCAGTTTTGGGTTTCTACACATGTAACATGGTTTTCTTTAGAATGAGAAGTGTTTTATAGGGCAGCTGATATATAACTTACTACAGTAAAGACATGGAGGCAGATTTAAAATAAATTATTTGTATGGAGCAGTATCTTGATTTACCGAGACTTTTATGAATTCAAATAACATTTTCAGATTAAGAGTACAGTTACACACCTCTTTTACATAGAAAGTTAAAATACTTACGCTTTTCATTATTTTTTAGAAGTTGTTTGCTTTCTTCAAGTTTTTGAACTGTAGCTTCTAATTGTTCTTGTAATCTGCATACCTGAAATATGTCAATCCTCATAAGTATAATAAAGGCTAAATAAAAACTGAAATGTATTTCTATTATTGATTACTATTAACTATTATTAAACAGAATGAATTATAGCTCTCCTGTGTAACTATGTATCTATACTATGTATACATATACTGTACATATATATGAACACTCAAGGTATCTGAGTCATGACAACTTTTCAAGCTGTAATAGGTTAACTTCTGTTGAAATTAATCCCATTCTTCTTGGGGGTAGGGGAGCCAAAGCTATTCTCCAATATAACAAAACAGAAATTTAAAAACTACATCTGAGAAAATTTGTTACACTTTGCAGAGTCACACATGCAAAAAACAAAATATTCACTACCTCTTGTTCTTTAATTCGGAGAGACTGTCCAACATCTTGTAATTCCTTTTGTTCCTTTTGTAATTTTTCTTCCTTCTCAGCCAAGAGTTTCTCTTGCTGAATAGTTACTGTATTTTTCAGTTTCAATTTACCCATTAAAGTTTTCAGATCCCCCTGCAACTTCTTGATAATTTCATTCGCCTGTAAAAGAGCTTCATATGTATTATCTCTACCTAATTCAATGAAATTTAATATTCTGTTATTGTAAAAAACAAACCTTAAGAAGTTCCGCTGATAATGATTTTATTGTAGCTTCAAGTTTTCCTAGTTGTACCTGATTTTTCTCACTGTTTTCTTCTAAAGCCACCTGATACATATTTTTAAAAACATGAATAAGATGTTTGTGTTTAAGAAAAGCATCGCTTGTAAATGTGATCATCAATTTGTTTAAAAATGTTTAAACAGACCTTTTGTTCCTGGATTGTATCAAATGCTTCTTTTGTTCTTAAAACAAGCTGGTCCTTATCCTTGATTTCCTGTTCTAAAACAGCCACTTTTGTTTGTAGCTGATTAATATGCTTTTCTTTTTCATGGCATTCAGCATCTAGGGTAGAATTTTCTCTTCGCAAAGAGAGGACTTCTTGCTTAGCCCGCTGGAGCTCCTACAGAAAGAAAAACAATGATGCGGCAAGAAAAAGAGAAGTTGGGGCGCTGTGGTTATTTATAATTAAGATGTTTAAATTATTTTTAAAATGTCTTTAACGTTTTAAAGTTCTAATACTGATGTCTTTTTTTTTTTTTTTAATTTTCTTTTTAATGTTTTATTTACTTCTGAGAGAGAGACAGCATGAGCAGGGGAGGGTCAGACAGAGAGGGAGACACAAAATCTGAAACAAGCTCCAGGCTCTGAGCTAGCTGTCAGCACAGAGCCTGACGCGGGGCTCAAACCCACGAACCATGAGATCATGACCTGGGCCAAAGTAAGACAGTTAACTGAATGAGCCACCCAGGCAACCCAGTACTGATTTCTTTTAAAAGGATTTGGAAGTCCCTCTAAAGGTATACTTAACTTGTAGATTTTAATTATAATTGTAAAATATACTAATATCCAATTCAACGACAAGGAAAATAATCCTGATTTATGAATAAATTACTACAACTCTAAAATACTAGTAACAAGGATTTTCTGGGATCTTGAAATTTACACTTTAAAAAAAAAATCACTTAGGAGGGCGCCTGAGTGGCTTAGTCAGTTAAGCCCCCAACTTCGCTCAGGTCATGATCTAGTGGTTTGCAAGTTCCTGCCCCACATAGGGCACTGTGCTGACGGCTCAGAGCCTTGAGGCTGCTTCAGATTCTGTGTCTCCCTTTCTCTCTGCCCCGTCCCCTCTCACAGTCTGTCTCTGTCAAAGATGAATAAACAATAAAGAAAATAAAAATAAATTAAAAAAAAAACCATTTAGGTAATAAATGCCTATTATAACAGAATTTCAAAAACTTAAAATAAATAAATATAAAGCCCTATCATTCTACCATGTAAGCGGTGATTCTCAAGCTACTATGCATATTAAAATCATCTGTGAAGCTTTAAAAACTACGGATGCCTGGATTCATCCCCAAGAGAGTCTTATTTACAGTTAGTATGAGGTATGGCCTGGGCACTAGGGCATTTAAGAATTCTCCAACTAATTCTAAGGGTAGCCAAGGGTGGCAGTTATGATCTAGAGTTAACATTTTGCTCCTTTTATATATATGGATTTCTTTTTTAGAAAGTGCTCATACTGGCAGTTTTATAATCTATCTGCTTTAAATATTACAAATATCTTTCCATGTCAACAAATTTGTTAACACTTGGTTCACTCTTAAACAAAAACAAGCAAACATAAGTGTTAGTTAAAAAACAGGTAACTGGGCTGCACAGCAAAGGAAACAACCCAAAAAACTAATAGGCAACCAATGGAATGGGAAAAGATAGTTGCAAATGACATATCAGATAAAGGGTTAATATCCAAAATCTATAAGGAACTCACCAAACTCCACACCCGAAAAACAAACAACCCAGTGAAGAAATGGGCAGAAGATATGAACAGACACTTCTCCAAAGAGGACATCCAGATGGCCAACACACACATGAAACGATGCTCAGCATCCCTCCTCCTCAGGGAAATACAAATCAAAACCACACTGAGATACCACCTCACGCCAGTCAGAGTGGCTAAAATGAGCACATCAGAGAACTCTAGATGCTGGTGAGGATGTGGAGAAACGGGCACTCTCCTACACTGTTGGTGGGAATGTAAACTGGTGCAGCCCCTCTGCAAAACTGTGGAGGTTCCTCAGGAAACTAACAATAGAAC